GTAGTAGTTGTTGTTGTCGTTGTTGTAGAAGTAGCACTAGTACTAGTAGTACAGTAGTAGCAGTAGTAGCAGTAGTAGTAGTAGTAGTCGTAGTAGTAGTAGTAGTAGTAGTAGTACTTCACTTCACTTCACACGCAGCAGAGAAGGTTCGTCCGCTAAGCGAAAAGGCACGCAGTATTTGCGCGGCAGCCTTGCTGCATGGCTTGTTGCCACCCATCCAACTTGACTTAGCCGCTCCTAAGAGCCTATGTGCACTAAGCCATGAACTGTTCTACGCAGAGGCAACTGCACCAAAACTGGCTATCGAGATGATGGCCGGAGGAAGATGATGTAAACATTGCGAAGTAAAGTGGAGGCCACATCCTTCCTAGGGGATCTAGCAGGGACACCATCATCCGTCCGCCACATCTTTCCCATACTCTCAATTAGGAGAGTCCGTTAGTGCCCGCTGTGGGGCGTGGAACCCAGGTGAACTAGTGCAGCACTGATGTGGTACTCACGTTGCCTGAGGGAACCTTCCACCCAGCAGGGGAGGCGAATCGTACTGGGTAAGGAAACTGGAGTGGAGAGTTTGTGCACTGCACGGTCCACCACAGTAAAACGATTCAGCTGGATGGCCACACAAGCAGTACCTGCATGAAGGGCTGGCTGAGAGGCTGCGGACTGCCAATGTTGGACTACACTTTGCAGTGGACAGGTGCCCCTGTGCAACGGCAGGTCCTGAAGATCACACTGAAGTACCAATGGACTGACTCCTCCACAATCCCTTAAGCTTCCCTCATTCATGATGGACCAACTACCCTGAAAATGGGTTAATTGAGCAGCCTGTGCAAAATGCTGGAGAAAGTCATCAGGAAGTCTGCTGCATCCTGTTGCCTGCCATTGTGTGGCCATCGACGCAAACATCTCTTCATGAGTGGTCTACTCCATACATGCTGAGGGGCTGAGGAACTTAACAGTGCCTGAAGATCATCATGGAGAGATTGCCTCATGCTTGCCTCGGATGGGTTGTGGAGGGTAGATGTCCACAGGGTTGCAAGCAGCACAGAGTTTGCATAGCATTCGTTGCCCTGGTTCAGGAGTTTAGCCCTTCTAATGTTGAGACTAGTGGCAGCTGGCGAATCTCCTGTGCTACTGACTGTGCCAACTGTGACCTGGCTCGCCTCTCCCTTCGCAATGTCGTCGCGACCAACATGAGGGATGCATTGCTTTGCAGGGTCTCCAAGATACTCCACATTCTGAACGCTTTCGGCTCGCGGAGCCCTAGCACTAGAGAGAATGTGACCGTGGGGGTCCCGCCATCTCCTCCTGAAGACGACGATTCGCATGATAGTTCACCAGCACCCCTTCCTGAGTCACCAAGATGATCGCCTCGTCGAGGAGGGTGAGAACCTCCTTGAGCGTCAGAGGCGCCCGATCCGGAATGTTCCCGAGAGCACGGTGAGCAGCATTCCACTTCTTGTCAGGGAACAGATCCGGTTCCTCCATTGCCTGAAGACCCAGTGCTTGCTGCTTGCTGGCCTGTTCCTGTGTGATGGCTTCCAAGCGACCCTTCAATTCGGCAGCCCACGTTTGGAACAGTATGGTCCTCAATGGCTGACGAATGGATTCTGGCGAGTCGCGTTTCATGCGATGCCATTCCTGTCCCAGGCGCGCTTGGGCTGCTACCGCAGACAGGGGAGGGGCAGTCCCCTCGAAGAGAACCCATGAGGTCGACTGAGAAAGTCCTGTGATGAAATCTTCGTGACGCAACAACAGTTGCGCCATCTTGCCCACGAGAACCTCCGAAGCCCACTTGTTCCAATGTGGATTGTCTGAGCTTCGAGGGGGTTCCGATTGATGTGCCCGGGTGAGTGGTTGGAATGGCCTCCGTTGTCCTCGGCCTGTCATTTCCTGCTGAGTTGTCGTGGTTTGTTCGTGTCTCTTCCTTCCTTCCGGCCCCTTCCCTCCGGGCGTGTGTATTTGGCCTGATGACCCACTGGCTCGTCCAGCGACCTGGTGGGAGTGGCCGTCATTGTGGAAGCCGATGGGGTGAGGGGAACCTCCAGGACCGGAGGACGGCTTGTCTCCATCTGTGGGGGAGCCTGCCGAGGCTGATTCGGGGCCGCCGCGAAGTTTGCTCCCTGAATCGCTAACGTCTGCAAGTGTTGGAGTTCGGCTGCAGCTTCCTGCAACTCCTCCCTGGAGAAGCCCTCGAGGTCCATGGTGTGGTAGCAATCGCAGTTGCGGGTCCTGCGGGGAGTGAAGGAGGAGGAGGGTTTTGGCAAGATTATCATGGGGCACTCTGAAGCGTTCTTGGTTTCGTAGCTCCTGTAGACTTGATCGCAGTATCGGCACTTGGTGCTTAAAGCCACACTGCGGCGGTGCTGAGCAGTGTGAGCACGAGCTTGCTGCAGCGCTTCGAGAGCCCACGGGTGAAAAGCCTGGAAGTGTAAGGTGATGCCCCTGGCTTGCGCAAGGCCTTGCCCACATGTGGGGCAACACCTGTAACTCTTGGAGTTTGCCTTGTTAAGGTAAACGGCAACAGCCTCCCACCCAGATGCAACGAGCGACTCAAGGTGCTGATCCCAGTAACAGCCTGATGACGAGTCATCGAAAGGAGGGAAGACTGGATCTCTGGCATTAGGGTATAAGACGCTACAGGCTTTGGTGAAGATATGAACCTTCAAGTCATCCCAACTGTGACACTCTCGCCGACAATGTCTGCAGATACACAAGCCAATTACAAAGCGCAGGCAGACGAATCTGGTTTGCGCATCTGCCGATTGCAGTCTCGTAGGCAGGCTATGCTGCAGTAGCGGCAGTAGCACATCCTGAGAGGGCAGCTGAACCTGGCGTCGGCTTTGCATGTAGGGAAGGAGAGCGTCTCCCGTATGAGTGCTGGGAGTCGGGTGCTGCAATCGCACTTCAGGTGGTGGTGTGGCGTTTTCCACTTGCTGCTGCTGCTGCAACCTCATCAGCTCAGCCTTTTCCTGTCTGTGGGCATGGGCCTCATGATTGCGGAGGGCTCCCAGGGAGTCAAAAGTTCGGTGACAGACCCCACAGGTGAGGCTACGCGGAGCATGAATATCACGACTGTCTTGTCCTGTTTCATGGATAGAAGTGTCTGGGCAGGTGTGGGAGGGAGTAACATGTTGAGGGTCAATTGAAGGGGGAGTGTTTGAGGTGGTGAATGTGGTGTGTAGGGTGGTCATCCAGTGCTGAATTCCCGCAACCTGATACAGCAGAGCTGGCCTAGTTGCCAGAGCAGTGTGCTGTCGGCACAAAGTGTGCCACGGATCCTCCACCTGCACACGCCGGTAGATTTCTTCAGTGGTCGTGTGCCAGATGTGAGCCGGAGATCGGGCAATGAGGCGGAGCTGACGACTGACTGCCTGACGAATCATGATGGGTCCCTGTGGTGGAAGACCCATACTATGCAGGGAGCATCTGAGGATCCTGAAAACACAAGCCTGCCATAGCCTTACTCTGGTTTTCATGCTCAAGGCCCGGTTTATGAGCAGATGGTGCAGCCTCCAGAAACTGCCCTAGGCTTTCTGCAGTCTGTTCGTGAGATTCAAGAGTTCAAAGTTGCGATAGGTGATCACAGCTCCTAAATAGGTGTGTGAGGTGGCTTTTTTGAAGAACATACGCTCCACTCCCACTCTGATCTCAAGATGTGGGACTTGGTCAATGGTTCTCTTGACCTTCTGCAGGATGGAGGTAGAACTAGAGCCTATCGCCGCCAATAGAATAACGGTTTTGTCCTGGCTCAACGTGAGGCCTACCCTTTGCAGAGTTTGCACTAAGAGTCCTATGGCGCTCAGGGCTGCCTTAAATTCCCCCGGGGCGCGAAAGAGCCAGCTGCCGAAAACGTCATCTGCAAACATGTTTGTGAGACCCTCTGACAGGTTTTGCTGCTGAAGAGATGCCAGATACAGCTTGTAGAAACGCCCGGTGGACAAGGCCCACAACAGTGACGACAAGGAACATCCCTGCCTGACACCGGTGCCCAAGTAAACGTCGGAGGTTTGGCCGGGTTGGCCTATCTGAAGACATGCCTGGCTGTGAAGATGAAGAATCAGGTCCACTTCTGGTTGAGTGAATTCCGCATCTACCTTGGATTCCTCGAGGAAGGAGTGGCTCAGGCTGTCGAAAGCTTTCTTTACATCCAAACTGATGGAAATGCCTCCTAACATACGAGGGCGCTTGGTGCCACGAAATCGCTGTGGAAGCGTGCTAGCATGAGCTTGAATCAAGCTTCGCACCTGGCTCATATGTGCACAAACCGACATCAGCGCATCATGTGTGGATCGGCCTGGGAGGTAGGCCCATTGGGGCACATGTTCAAGATACCTTGCCACCTTGTGCTGCACCTGCCTGGCAATCATGGAGGCTAATAGTTTGTTTCCTGGGTGAAGCAATGCTATTGGGCGGAGGTGTTTAGGTTCCTTAACATGCTGCACTTTAGGAATGAGATGGAGCTGTACCTTGTGCCACTCTGCCTCGCTGGAGGCCTCGAGATTCATGCACGGAAGGAGCATGCTGACAACCTGCTCGGGTATCAGCTTCCAGAGGCGGGCCGGCATGAATGCTGATGGCAGAGCTTTGGATGGCTCTAGGCGGCTGAGACCTAGGAGGAGGTCCTCATGCGTAAAGTGCATACCAGAAATGACGGGGGCAGGGGGAGCCTCCAAGACATCGCTACTGTGGTAGACGGTGCGTAGGAAGGAAGCTATATGCCCCGACTCCTTTTGACCCGCGAGCAACTTGCCCTGTTCATCACGCAGCTGTATTCGTTGCGTGCGAGATTTAGGAGCTAGTTCCTTCACTACACTGAAGATGGCAGATGGAAAACGGGATGCCTCAGCCTCTCGCAGAAGGGTTTCCACTCTGTCACGTTTTCTAGCTGTACAGGCCTTTTTGAGTTGATGCTGGACTCGGGCAAGCTTAACAGCATGTAGCCAACCTCTGAGGACCGAGTAGGTCCGAGGAGTCTGCTTGTGCTGTCGTCGTAAGGCCCATAATTCCCGAACTAGGCCTACAGCTGCATGTGCTGGCGCTTCCGCTCTCGCCTGACCTGATGGACTGACTTCATGCCAGGCTTGTTGCATAATGCGGTTGAGGACCGCCGCAGGGTCACCAAGACAGTGTGGAGGCTGCAACTCAGCCGCTCGTTTCCGAAAGCGATCCGCAAGCTCAGGCTCCTGCTGGAGTCGTTGTGCCACTGTAGAGGCCTTGCACAAGGCACGACAAGGATGCCTGGAGCGAGGCTCGCTCGGCATTGGCAGAGTGGTGAGTAAAGGCAGGTGTCTCATGCCTGTGGTGGGTACAAAGGGTGCCGGCACGGTTCTGGCGGATTTTGCGAGCTTGTCTGTATGCGAGGCCCGGAAGAGCAGAAAGTCTATCTGCGTACTGTGTGTGCTATCCTTATGTTCAAATCTGTACGTGTGGCTGTGTTTGATCCGTCCCCAGGTGTTGAGGGCGATGAGGTTGTGTTGGGACAAGAGATCCTGAAGTCTGGGCTGATCTGTCTGCCTGATGCTACCAGTGATTGGTGCTACCCCATGACCAACGTAGGGGGGTTGGGTGATACATGGGGTATTCAGGTCTCCGGCCACAAGGAGTTTCGAAGGGCAGCTGAGAGTTGCGCCCAGAACACTTCTCTAGAGGCTAGGCATTCTTCTTGTCCTGACTGCTCGGACCAAACGTGTTGGTAGGTAGCAATGACGTAGATAGCTGGAGAAGTTTCTAACCTAGCGAGCAGAAGCCTGCCCGGTATGTGGGCAGTAGAGCGAATGGCCTGGGCATTGACCAGCCCTTTGTGCACAAGCAACCAGATACCACCCTTGCGATTGCTGAGTCCCGAGTGAATGACATTATACGAAGGTAACTCCCACTCAGAGTCGAAACTCCAATGGGTTTCAGTCAGGACACATACATGCACGGTGGAGCCTCGGGCGTGGCACTGCTCGAGCCATGTCTCTATCTCCAACAGCTTGGCGACCTTGAGTCCTCCCGCATTCCAGGACATGACTCGCCATCTGCTCTTGGGCGGCGGTTGCTGGGGATGAGTGGATTGGGTGGCTGTTTTCTCAGTCTGGTGTAGTGTATCCGGTCTGTTGTGTGAGGAGGCTGTGGGATGAGAATTGGGTTCGGGGCACCCTAAGGTTTGGAGGGTATGTTGGCGTCCTCTATACCTGGTGGTGCCATGAAGCTTGGCGCGATTGACTGCTCTATGGAAAGAGCGCTTGCCTGCTCGGGTGAGCTGCGCATAAACAGTTCGAGGGATGGGTTCTGCTTGTTGACGATGACCGTCGATTTCACGATGCTTTGCAATGTGTTGTGAGCTTATGCTGCGTCTTGCAGTGTTTGCTCCAGCACGTCTCGTGACTTTACCTGCAACCCTCACGTCTGTGGAGACTCCTGTGCAAAGTTGTAGCCGTTGTAGAAACAAGGCACATACGACGAGTGCTCCACTCCGGGACTTGGGACCCGGACGGCCCTCTTGATGGGGAGGGGGTAGAACATACGAATCTCGTGGTGAGTCGGGGGTGAAGTTACAATGGGTATATTGGCTGACAGAAGCAACCAGTGCAGAGCGGCTCCTCTGCAACTGGTCGGTTAACAAAGGTAATGAAAGTACAGCATGCGGCCATAGTATTCTACTTGTGGCATTCAGAACCAGCACTCTTCTCCTCCTGTGAAAGCGACGTCCCCATACCTGACCAAGATCGGAGGCAAGAATCTCGCTGTGCATGGACACATCAAGGGCTGTTTGCAGCAAATGATCTGAATCGATGGCGACAAAACCTCCGACTGGTCCATAAGTGGCAGTGACCAGTGTGAGGCTTTTGAGAGGAGCATGGCACTGGGACCTACTGTCCAGGCGTCCCGCAAGTGGCCTCGCTGGCGATGCGCCACAGTTGCCTTGAGCGGGGGGCAATGCACTTCCTGTAGTTGAACCGCACCGCTGAAGGAGGCGAGTGACTGGTGATTGTTTTTCCGACACAGTCGCACAGTGATTTAAGTCGGAAACAGGCTGCACATCGCAGTCCTGATCGTACCGAAAGCTTCGCACATGGCTAGGTCGCTGGCCTGAGGGTCTGGGAGGGCAGTTGCCCGATCGTCGCACCTGAAGCGGTGTCAACTGCTGGCCTCGGTATGCCACGGGTTGCTGCGCGTCTGTGGCGCGGCGACAAGCTTTTTTGTAGGATCGTTTTCGCAAAGAAGAATAATTTTGAGAGTGCACAGGCAGATGTGCCGTCCGCGTTTTCGCTTCTGAAGGCATCAGAAGCTCCTTCCACCCTGCGGTAAGTGGAAACCCTACCGCCTCCCACGAGCTGCTTTGTCTTTGACAAAGGTCGTGGGCCCGGAATTGGACGTTGGCACTAGCAGGAGCACATGGCGCGTAGGCGGGACCACTCCGTAAGGTTAAAAGGAGGCCTTGTTGGAGCCTTTAGAGAGGGAGTTGGGTACCCGCAGCCTGTTCGGAAGCTCCGCTACACTCGCTGCCGCCTGAACCGTGGCGGCTACAGCAACAGCAACAACATTTCATTGACTCGCAGC